AAAAAATATGATATACCAATTCAATCACACCTTTCAGAAAATACTGCAGAGTTAGAATTTGTCAAGAAGTTATTTCCTCATATCAAGAATTATACGGCAGTTTATGATCATTATGGACTATTGAATCATCAAGCAATAATGGCCCATGGTATTCATTTATCATCGGAAGAGAGAAAACTACTGAGACAACGTAAAGTTGGCATATCACATTGTCCAAATTCAAATTTTGCTCTTCGATCCGGAGTGTGCAATGTTAGACAATTGTTGAATGATGGTATTAAAGTTGGTTTGGGCACAGATATTAGTGGAGGCCATGCAAAATCTATGTTAGATGCTATAAGAAGTGCAAGTACAGCAAGTCGTGTTATTCATATGGCGTCATCAGAAAAAGAAGACGAAGAATATGATGATAATGATAATAGTATCAGTGCGTATTCAAGCTTGACACTTTCAGAGTTAACATATTTGGCAACAATGGGTGGTGCAGAATTGGTAAATCTTCAAAACGTTATTGGTAATTTTATAATTGGTAAGGAGTTTGATGCGTTATGGGTTGATCCAGAAGCAAAGAATTCGCCACTTGATATATTTGATAATATCGATGATGCTTTAGAAAGAATTTTTGAAAAATTTATATTTCTTGGTGATGAACGAAATCTTAAAGCTGTATTTGTCAAAGGAAGAAGGGTGTCTGGTACTGATATATAGACATATTTATATATATATAGTGTGTTACAAAAAAAATTGGAAAATTTTTGGTGAAAGAATATTTTTGTTCTTTCCAGTAGCAAATTACCACGCCTTTCTATATAAAGATCATTCCTGAAGTTGTTACAAAGATTAAGAAACTATTTTGATTTAAATAGGATGCCTGAAAGTTTATTATTTTAAGTTCGAATTTACCCACAAGAGCTTCAACTTAAAAACCTTCTGTTAGTTATATGATGATTATTCAACAATGTTTATGTATTGAAACATCAAATTTTTGGTGAACTTATTAAGTGAGACATAAAGTAATAAATGCTAAAAAATCCTGAAAATTGGAATGATTTTTGGCAAATCAGTGAAAAATGAGTTCACAGATTTTTGTAATCGGATTTTTAATGGATCAAAAATTAACTTTGTTGTTTAATATTGAAAGCAATTAAAAAAAATTTTCATATCAAATTTATATTAATAGAAATCTCTGATTTTCAGTTTCCTTTTGATATGTATTTTGTCCGTTTTTATTCAACCAATATCAGTCATCCGTAATTTCACGGGATCGACATGTCTACTGCTGTAGCTATGTAATTTTTTCGTGAAACATTTCA